CCAAACCCTATTTTATTGCAAGAAAATCCATAATGCTTTTGCCATGCAAAAATGTTTTCTGAGAATACTGTGGAAGCAATAAATTAGAGAGCTACGTTTATATTAATTATACCCATTCAGAAATAGCAGGATGCCATGAATACAATGGCAAAAATTGTTCGCCTCAATTTAATAAAGTTGTTAGATGTGAATCCTTGGAGTTTCCTGGCATGGTTTAAAGCAATGAGAAAGAATAAAAATAACATTTGATGAGCAGCTACAGTCAGTAGTCACTACAAAAAAAATACTTTTGAAAATGTGAATTCATAACATGCTTAAAATATTCCTTGAAAAATATATTGTTTATTCCCATTTCATAAATAAGAAACTGAGTCCCAGAGAGGCTAAGAGACTTTCATAAGCTGATATAGCCAGGATGTATACAGGATTTGTTCTTCTGGTTATGTTTCATATGTTCTAGAAGCTGTAAAGAAATATAGAAATGGATAAAACATTTTCCCTTTCATCAAATAATTTTCCAGTTGGTGAGGTTAACTCAAGCAAGTGGTTACACTTTTCTAAGGAAAAAGAAGAACAGGACAGAGAAAGAAACTTCTGCGTCCCAAATAGAGTGGAAGATACATGTTTCTTGGTTTTTTAATATATATTTATAGTAAATACATAGATTATACATGCAAAAATATATGTTCTGCATATTATGAAATGAAGGACTTCATATTTTAAAAATATGATTACAAATAGGCAAACTGTACATGATTTATAAGTATTGCACCTACTAGTCAAAAAAATCAAAATATATTTTGCATATGAGTCAGATATGAGATAATTTGGAAGAAAATAATTCTTGCATCTGATCAGATGGAACCAATGTCAGAGTAAGCCATATGATAACTGGTGAATTCACCAATGTTTATTGGCAATTAAACACTTTAGGCTCCAACTAGTTTGAGGTAGTATTTATTTGTGACAGGAAACACCACAGGATAAAAGTATAAAATCAGTGGATGATGCAGTAATATAACAACACCTTTATTCATCACTCAAGATATTTACCAGCCACCCTGTAAAACCACATTGCCTTTACCACATATCACAGGGACTTAAACACAATAGACATGTGGGTTTAATTCAAAACAACTGCCAGTAGCTGACACCTTAACATGGTCTATGTCATTTCCATACATTTTTTTACCTCACATCTACCCTAGGAGATGGATGAATTTTTCCCATTTTTAAGTGAAGAAACTACAGTTCAGAGAAATTAGTACTCTGCCCAAGGTCACAAGACATGACCAACACAGGATTTGAGCCCAGATATGTTCCATTCCAAAGTATGCTTTCTTTCAAGCCCATGACCAACTAATAGCAGATGGCACTTGTCCCCACCTGGTGAGGTAGGTTCTACTGTCATCCTCAACTTACAGAGAAGGAAACTGAGGCAGGAAGAGATTGTCACTTGTCTATAGTCACACACTTGACTTGGAAGACAGGAGACTATAAGTGGGCACATCTTGTGTCCTCATGCACAGGTCTTGTGTTCTCAGATTTGAGTTGGTGGCAACCTCCAGAGAAGAAGAGGACATTGTCTCATGTATAAACTTCCAGGACAAAGTAGGTGAGAAGCCTCACTGAAATGCACACTTTATTCTTCGGAGTGGCCTGGGTCTTACAAGACTGCTCCTGAACATTTAGCCCCTTAAGATCTCTTAAGAAGGAAAAGAATTACCCCATATGGTCTGGAAGACCAAACTTAACTGTCAAGGAATTCAGTGTTGCATTAAAGTGTGTTAAGATAAGAAACTCCCAAAGCTCTTTCAACCCCTCCTTTGTCGTATAACAGGCTTCTGACACCAAAGTTTATTGTTAAAAGCATCCTGAATAACAGAAATATTACTGTATATATTTTCACCAGAATGAAGAATGTCAGGGAAATTTGTCATGATAGGTGTTTACCCTAAGTTTGACATGCATTATTGTTAGATCATTCTGCTCTCCCTCCATAATTTTTCTATGCAATTTACTTATGTGCATATTTAAATAGGGTGCCAGTTAATTGAAATTGTAGTGTGTTTAAGCCAGATTTGACACTGACTGGCAGTTGCTATTAAGGAATACTTGGAATCTATGAACGGGTCATTTTCCAAGTAGTACAGATGCAGATATATTCATCCAGTAGAATATATCAAGAAACCAAACAGCTGATGGTGCCAAGACAATCACCTTATTCATCTCAAGTAGAATTCTGCCTTATTCACCTTTATAGACCACATCAGAACCACATGTGACATAATAGTCTACCATTAGCTTCCTTATCTTCTCACATGAAGACTCTGCCTACAAATACAGGGGTCTTGGAAATAACTTTGAGAAAACTATTCAGTTCACACAAGACTTTTTAAATATCAGTGTATGTCGCTGAGTGTGGTGATACATGCCTGTAATACCAGCATTCTGGGAGGTTGAGGCAGAAGAATTGCAAGTTTGATCCCAGCCTGGGCAACTTAGTGATAAGATGCAGACCCTATCTTAAAATTTAAACAAAAGAGAGAGAACTGGGGATGTAGCTTACTGCAAAGGCCATAGATTCAATATTCAGTGCCACAATAATGATGATTGTGGTGGTAATACTTATATTGTACATTAAAAATAGGGCCAGAGCTGCACCTGCCTGGCAAGCACAAGGTCCTGAGTTCAATTCCTGGTACTGGAAAAAAAATAGGGCTGGGGATGTAGCTCAGTGGTAGAGCACTTGCCTAGTGTGCATGAGGCCCTGAATTCAATTTCCAGCACCTCAAAAAATAAATAAGTACATTATCCAATATTCGATTCTGTTCTGTTCATTTTTCATTCCAACACTCATTAGTAGAAGAGCATCCTGTGGAAACAATATGGAACCAAACCATGGCAGAGATCATTCTTGATAGGCCAACAGCTCAGGCAACTTCAAGAACCAACAAAATACCAAATAGCCTCAGATTTTATTTTTTAATAAAGGCTAAAATTGTTTGAAGGACAACATATCATTTATCTTCCTTTGCCTCTCTTTGTGTCTCCTATTCTGTATATTTACTCTAGATCCAGGACATAGCCAATTCTCTGTGCCTCAGTTTCCTCATCTGTAAAATACAGCACTAGTAATAGCCTTCAGTTTGATTGTTGGCTGGATGCAATGAGGTAAAACACTGAAAATAGACACATCAGATGTTTGGCATGTAATAACCTCTATACTTTAATTAACATTATTATCACTGTTTCATTATTATTCTGTAAGTTATATCTCATATGAGTAAGATATACATCATAACTTACCTTACAGTAACTTTTAAAATATAAATTGATATAACATTTTTGATACCTCTATGAATATTTAAAATTATAAACATAATGAAACAAGAATTCACATATACCTAAAGGTCACTTTGGTGGCAATATTCATGAGAATTATAAAATGGAGCCCTCATTGAAATGTTCTTTATGTTTTCTGCAGGCTAGATTACATGGTCCTGTGTTGCGCAAAATTAAATGCACCTATCACACAAAATGCTTTGCTACAAGAACTATCTGAATACTTTGCTCTCTTTAGTTATTTTCCCTGTTAGCTTTTGTTTGATTAGAAAGCAAGTAAGTAGGTAAAAATCACCATACTGAGACTGTTGGGATGCAAAAGAAGAATTAACATTTGTTGAATACTTTCTAAGTGCCGGAGAGTTTGCTGTTGCTTTATATGTAGTCATTATTTCACTTAATCTTTATAATTGCCCCCATTTCTCAGGGGGTTCTTTATCTGATAGGATATGAATCAGAATTGAGAACCTGTCAATCTGTCTCTCAAGCTTGTTTGCTGTATACTGTGTTTGAGTAACTACATCTGACTACTCCTATACAGTACCTGGTCATGTACTTCTCAAAATTATCTGAGAATCACCTTTAAGATATGACATCACCACCTTATGAAAAATGCTAACAAAATCTTCTTACTTGATGGCTCTAATTAGAAGGCTAATTCTGGGTAATTCTGGGGAACTCGGGCAACACTTCTATAGAGGAGGGGCTCTTAGGTAACAGCTGTAGAAAAATCTCCATAAACATTTCATTTGATATTCTCATGTTTTACATTAATGCAACTGTTTGGCACACCCCAGGGATGTGAAATGTGCTATAAGAAATGCAGTGAGCTGCCAATCACTGCCCTGCAGGGGATTTACGAAATGGATTCCTGCAAATGTTGTTTGTTTCTTTTCATCCCAAACTGCATGAATTATTTCAACTGAATGGTGGGGCTGGGGGAGTTGGGGTTCCAGAAGCTAATACAGAGCTCTGCACCCCCATTCATGCTTAATAAGTACCTGGAGTGACAGGCTGCTTATTGCTAAAGTCGTATTTTTTGTTTTGAGATATTGGTTTTATATGGCTCCTGCTTTTTTTTTTTTTTTTTGAAAAATTATTCCAATCCTTATTATCACCCCTCTTAGGTGAAAGTCAAATTAAGCCCTTTGAATTCTTCTCCCTATTTCTAGGAAGAGGCTACTTGTCAGGTGCAAGGTGTTTTCTTCTGCTTGGGTTTTCCTTCCAAGACAAAGGAAAAAGAGGCAATCTCGGGAGGTGGAACGAGCCCAGGCAATTAGGGAAGCATCGAGATTTCATGGGGAAGCTTGGTCTTTTTAAAGGGCTGGGTTTTGATAGCGCTGCTCCTGCTTTCTAGCTGTGTGACTTGGGCAAGATTACTGCAGTTCTCAGAGACACAATTTGCTCATCTCTGATACGGGGAAGTCCTGTTGTGAAGAGTAAGTGAGGTGGTATTTCTACAACACCTTGTACATAGTAAATGTAGCAGTTAGTGAAACTAGCTGTTCTTTCACCACTGATGAGACCGTAAGACAGCACACGCCATACAGGGTCTGAGAGATTTTACATCAATAGTTGCCACTTAAACAATGACCATTGTTTTGCTCTAGATACCCAGACCAACCTAGTCGTGTTCCTTTTTCTCTCCATGGCAGCACCCAGCATTTGAATAGTACCTGTAGATCTCGCCTCCTCTGCTGCCTTGTTCTCCAGGAGTCCCTGTGGCGCCTCGCTGCCGGCGGTCTCGCTAATCACTGTAGTCCTCCCCGTAAGGAGGAGAGCATGAAAAGCACCTATTTTGAGATATGAAGAGAAACAGTGTAAGTATATAGTTAAAGGAATTTATCTTCAGCGGACATTTTATTTTCGAGGTCTAGGGATCTGGTTGGACCCAAATGGAATTACTGCTTTCCTCAAAAGAGCTGTCCGCTGGCCCGGGCGCGTTGGCTCAATGGTCCCACCCTCACCTCGAGTGCTGGAGGCCTCGGGTTTGGTCCTGGGTTCCATCCTCAGCAACACAAGACAAAACCGAAAAGCTGTACTTCCTGAAATCAATGTTGAAGCTACTTTTTTTTTAATTAGGCAAAATAGAGTACTCCTTATGGTTCTCCTGCAATTCTAGTTCATTTTTTGATATGGTGGAAGACGTTCTAATCGGCAATGAATAAAATTTATCTTCAGTGGTAGCATGTGCACATTTAGAATTGTAGGCAAAGTGAACTTCTTTATTTATTTTTGCTTTCATAAACAAGTGTGTTGTTTGGGGTAAGGTATACCAAACCAGTTAAAAATTTAGATTTCATTGTCGTCCATTAAAACATCAAATGATATAACAGAACTTGGCAAATGAACTTTTCAGTAGCATCTATGAGGTCAAAACACACACAAAAAGATATTATCAAATATAAAAACTCAAAACTTCTGTCAGTCATCTCAGCTTTTTAGTTTAGGGAGCTCTGAACTTCTGTATATTCGATTCTAACTAGATAACTGTTTTCCAAAGTAATAAATGAGTTTATATTAGTGGTATTCAGGGAAAAAGTAATTTCAATACTGTAGTGTACTTTCAAAATTTTTAGTTAGAATGTGAAATTATGGTGCAAAGATTTCTTTTTAGTATAGGAATTAATGTGGGAAGGTAAAATGATACTGTATTCAAGTGATTAAAATTCAGAAAATACTGGTCTAAATGCCTAATTGAAACGTGTTGCTACATGTTGACATTGTTTGATAAAAGCAATTTTGTTAGATGATTTCACAATGTTTTGAACATCAAATGCCCAGCAGCTTCAAGAACCCAAGTTGCATTGATAGAGTCTTGCCTCACTAAACTAGCAGAAAGTACAGGTGTACATTTCCCTCTATTGTCCATGCTGCAAAATAAATCTCAAATGGAGCAAAAATCGAAGTGGGGTGGGGGAAATAAATTGTAAAACTACTTGAAAACACCCCTGGAGACTTATCTTTATTAGCTTGCTTTACAATCTTAGAGTAGGGAAGGTCTTTCAAAGCATGACATAAATTTCAGAAGACATACAGAAACCATTAGTTTAACCAGAGAAAAATTTAAAATTTGTGCATAGCAAAAATCAATAAGTAGCTCAGGGAGTGTAGCTCAGAGGTAGAGCACTTGTGTAGCATGCCCAAGGCTGTGGGTTTAAGCCCCAGAAAAAAATAATAAAGAAATAAAAAATAGAATTATTTGCAACACATATAACAGACAAAAGCCAATATCTTCTATAATATATCCAAAGTCTCTCAACATAGACAAAGGAAATTCAACTAAAGAATAGTTAAATAACAAAGGTCATGAACATAGGTCAGAGACTAGGAAATAAATGATTTATGAACATATAAAAATGTGTTTAAACTCTTTAAAAAAACACACAGAAATTTTAAAAATCACAAAAAAATCACGAAGATATTCCTTTTTTTTTTTCTTTTTTAGTACTGGAGTTGGAACCCAGGACCTTGTACATGTTAGGCAAATGCTCTACCACTGAGCTAGATCTCCAACAGAAATAGTCCTTTCCAACTTGCTTAGCAAATATAAAATGTTTCATAAATACATTGTGTGTTGATGAGCACATGAACAAAGGGGAAGGTAAAAAGAAAATAGCGTGGCAAGATGGCAGTCACCGTGGGCTCAGGAGTAAAAACCCCTCGCAATTTCCAACTGTTGGAAGAACTCGAAGAAGGCCAGAAAGGAGTAGGAGATGGCACAGTTAGCTGGGGTCTAGACGATGACGAAGACATGACACTTACAAGATGGACAGGGATGGTATTTGGGCCTCCAAGAACAATTTATGAAAACCAAATATACAGCCTTAAAATAGAATGTGGACCTAAATACGCAGAAGCACCCCCCTTTGTAAGATTTGTAACAAAAGTTAATATGAGTGGTGGACCCAAGAGCCATATCAGTGCTAGCAAAATGGCAGAATTCATATAGCATCAAAGTTGTGCTACAAGAGCTTCGGCACTTAACGATGTCTAAAGAAAATATGAAACTTCCTCAGCTGCCTGCAGGACAGTGTTACAGCAATTAATCAAAAACCCCTCCAATCAATCAAAGACCCCTCCACCCCCACCCCCAATTCCATTTCATCAGTCTTCGTTTTCCACAGTAGTAAATTTTCTAGTTACACCTTGTAGGTAGACCTCAAAGTACTGGAAAGGAAGCTCCCATTCAAAAGCAGTTTATCTTACGATACTGTAAATGATACTAATTTTTTGTCCATTTGAAATACATAAGTTGTGCTATAACAAATCGTCCTGTCAAGTGTAACCACTGTCCACGTCGTTGAATTTCTGGAATCAAGAAGGTATATTTAAATTGATTCCCATCATGACTGGTGGGGCACGGCCAGCTCAACTGTGAAAAGACACATCACACAATCAATCACCTTGCTGCTGATGACACGGCCCGCCCGGGGCTCCGCCTGCTCCCCTCCCTGCCGCCTCCGCCCCTGGAGCCCTGGCCTGGGCTGGCTGGTTGAGGAGATGTGAAGGTTTCAGGTCGCAGCCTATGGGACTACTGCTGGGTGTGCGGGCGCATTGCCTGCACCCTGCTTTCTTTTTTAAGTCTTAAATGATGCCCCCTTCCAAGCCACCAACCTGTCCCGCTCTCTTCCAACTCCCACCCTTGGCCAAACTTAGACTGTAACTCTCCATCCCCTCTGAAATTGGCCTTCGGTGAGGAATTAAGGGCTTTCCTCCATCTCTCCCCCACCTTGACTGAGGGGTGCTGCTTTTCCCTCCTCGTCCTCCTCTCCCTTGTCACTGTCACCACCCTTCCTTCCACCTGTCCACAACCCTTCCTTCCTTTGGCCAGAAGCCATCAGGTAAGGTTGCAACCGAAAGAGTCTGACCGCCCTCATGTACGTTTGGAACCACATTTATTTGTTCTCCACCAGTTGGGAAATGAGTCCTGGGCTCTGCCACCTGCTGTCACCATCAGCCAAGAGCAGAGACCTGCCAGTGCCCCATCCTCGCTGGGCAGGCCGGGAGCAAGGCCACATGAGGACACTGTGAGCACAAGCAGTCCCTCTGGATGATTCCCTTTCCTCGTACCCACTTTGCTTCAAGACACTGAAGAAGGTCTACACAGGCTGTTGTGCGGTCACTTTTGCCTCCATTTGGGTCTAGTTCAGAATCTGACAGCTGGAACAAGGCACCTGGCCCAGTGTGGCCTTTGGCTTTGGCTGCTGCTGCTTCTCGGATGCTCAGCAGGGACTAAAGAGTGGCTCAGTGTGCAGTGGACCCAGGACTGGCAGGCCTGGCCTCTGGCACCTGCTTTCCCACTTTCTGTTCAAGACCACTAAATGCTGAAATGCAGATGCGTACCAAAATAAAGGCAATTCATGGTGAAAAAAAAAAGAAAATAGCGTGCTATCCTTTATAAAATTTTAGCCTTTTGTCACCAGATGTGGTAACACATGCCAGTAATCCCAGCACTCTGGGAGGCTGAAGCAGGAGCATTGCAAATTGGAGTCTAGCAGGGGCAACTTAGTGACTTAGAAAGACCCTGTCTCAAAATTAAAAAATAAAAAATAAATAATGACTGGGGATGTAGTTCAGTAAAAAGGCTCTAAATTCAGTTCCTAGTACTATAAAAAAATTTTAAACTAGCCTTTTTAAATTCAAAAATAAAATCTGAGAGCCAAGATGTAGTTCAGCAGCACAGTGCCTGCCTCGCAAGTGAAAGGTACTGAGTTCGATCCTCAGTACCAAATAAATAAATAAATAAATAAATAAATAAATAAATAAATAAATGCATCTGAAATTATTTGATGTGTCTTGGTTCCTTGAAGTTGCTCAGGCTGTTGTCCTATCAAGAATCTTCCTCGTTAGTCTGACACTGCACCCTGTAGCCAGAGACTGTGTTTTTCTATTAACAAATATTTGAGTAAAAGCATAGAAAACAGAATCAAATGATGGAATGTTGTATGTACATAATATAAATACCTGCTTTTTAAAGGAATTCAGTGAATTTGATAAATTTCCAAAGATTATTTCCAAGACCCTTGAATTTGTGGGCATGGCCTTTGCCTGAGAAGATGAGTGTGATTAACAACATTGTCTGTTTGTGCAAGTGTGTGTTAAACTTGAGTCCCGGCGCCCATGCTAATGCTCCCTTGGCTAAAACAAGTAACAGAGAGAAACACTGGTTGGAAGTAAGGTCTGACATGTAACCAGAAGCCAGATCTTTAAGCCTTACAGTCTGGATAAAATAATTTGAAATTTAAGTGTGACTTGAAGCCACTAGAGGCTTTTTATTATTAATTAATTAATTAATTAATTTTTGGTGGTACTGGGGATTAAATCCAGGTCCTCCACACTGAGCTAGCTACATCCCCAGACCTTTTTATTTTGAGACAGGGTCTCTCTAAGTCACTGAGTTCACCAGGAGGGACCTGGATTTGTGATCCTTCTGCCTTGGTGTCCCAGATTACGGGCTAGGATTACAGGCATATGCCACCGTGCCCAGTTTAGGATTTTATTTTTCAACATGTCATTTTGACGTGACCAGGTCTCTGAGTCCATGCAGGCTACCACAACAAAACACAGTAAACTGGGTGGCTCATATGTATCAGAAACATATTTCTCACAGCTCTGGGGACTATAAATTCAGTTTGTGAGCAGACTCCATTTCCTGGCCCATGGGTGACACCTTCATATTTTGTCCTCCCATGGTGGGAAAGGGCAAGGCAGCTTTTGGAGGGCCTCATTTATCAGGGCATGAATCCTGGTCCCGAAAGTAGAGCTCTGCTCACCTCCCACAGACCCTGCCTGGAGTTTGGGCTTCAGTGTATGAACT